TTCATATATGTGTGTGTGTGCGCATGTGCATGAATTTAAGTTGTATGCAGTTTGAGAATATCGGGTGATTTTTGTGTTGCGTCACATATATAATATATATGTGTATCATCAAGTGGAAATAATTAACTCCTTAATCAAGTAAAACAAAGTAAAAGATCATTGTTTCATCCAATGTTTAAAAAAACCACAAAGTAAAAATTATTATCACTTGATTTCATGCCACAGCTCGCTTCTTCCCCTTGGCTTTATCTTCTTCAGCCTCCTGTGGAAAGAATTTTAAAAAAATTACATTATTCATCATCAGCCAACGGAACAGAGAAGGAAGAAACAGAGGAGAATTGTTTACCATGCAGAGAAGTTCTTGAGAATTCAGCTCACGGAAGCGTACGTCTCTCTCAAAAGTCAACCAACGAACGTAATTTTTCCAGTCCTTCTTGGTCTATTTCACGGCTTTAATGTCAGGGCAAACAATCGGATTAGTAGGAAGACGCGTCCCTGTCAAAGCAATTAATCACAGATACCCAAAACATCAATTAAAATCAGGCTCGTTTATAAAAGCAACCTACAACTTAGAGTTAGAAAAACCCAGATTTGATTCTTCTCGTGTATCAACAGCCCAATGTTCAGAATCTCGAAATCGGCGATAAACAACCAAGTATTCAGAATCTCACTACCCAAAAACCGTTGAATCTCGAAATAACTAAGAACAGAGAACAGATAAAGAAACATACCGAGATTTGATGATTTTCCTCCTGCAGTCATCTTTCTGTATCAAAAAACAAAAAGGCAGGAAGAACACGAAATCAAAAAAAAAAAAAAAAAAAAAATTAAGGAAGAAGAATCGATAGAGAGAGAGAGAGAGAGAGAGAGAGAGAGTTTTGTCGTCTTACTTGGGCATTTTTCTCTCTTGCGAAATAATCAAAATGGCCAGCTGAAAATGGCACTCTATAGCTCACTGATCACTTTTTCTTCTCCTGAAATTGTTTCTAACAGACTCTCGGGGCCCGAGATTACCCCTAGACCGTCGATTAATATCGACGGTCCAGATTATCCCAACAAATCTTAATTCAATTTAGTTCCAGAGAACTTGCAGCTCAAGCTTCCTCACAACTCTCGTGACTTAATTTGGGCCTATCTTTTTTATGCCCAGCTCGGCCCAAATGTTTTTTTTAAGATATGCGTGACTAGCTACAGTATTTTTGAGTAACGGTAGAAAGAGTTTAAAACATAACTACTACGCCCCTACAAAACATATGATTTTTGAAATTTTCTTCTATTTCATTAATTTTGCAGTACTCTGATGATTGAACTAGGTATTTTTTGACAACATATGACATTAAATTTCTAAATTGGCACTTATTTTGAAACAAAATATCCTTCTACAACAGCACTGAAGAAGTACATTAATGATAATACCGATGCATTATTTGATGGATAATAACGCTAAACCGATACCCTAAACGGCTAAACCTAAAGAAAACATTTTGAATACTGTTCTTTATAATAGTTGCTACCAAATGTGAAATAAAATCCCAACCACTTCGCCGTACCTCTGTTAAATCCTCATGCAGACTATAATTTTCTCCATAACTGACACTATAATATTATTATTATACGTCAATCTCGTCGACGTATCATTATCTATATGCATGTGTTTAGTACAATAAAGGGTTATAAATTATTAAAATCTCATAAGTGTAAAACACAACTTTACCAGGCTACCCACTCTTTTTTTTATAACGAAAATGATTCAGTTTACGAGTAATTTATTTATATATGATAAACAAACGGTGAAACTAGTCCTCATCATCTTTCACATATCTGCTAAACTCACTGCTTCCTGAACGGAGTCAGGCTGTAACTGAATGTCCTCTGCTTCAGTAGCTGACTGTCCATTAACCACCTTACAATCTTGTCTAATCTCTCCACTAGTCCCCGTCAAGGGACTTATATTCCCTATTTTGATCATGGACTTAGCAAAGGCCTCGAAAAACAGAGTTTGGTTACTTGCGAAGGAAGTAACAATCGCAATGGTGGGTGAACCGGTATCAGAGAACAGTTCTTGGTCAGACTGTAGAAGACCATTGTTGCTTTGAAGGGTTTGTATAGTATAGATTTAGGAGGGTTTGTATAGCCGAAAGGAAGAATGATGTGGTCAAATGCCACAATTTAGGAGGGTTTGTATAGTATAGATTTTTTTATAAGCCTTCGAAGAACAAAAAAAGAGTTTATTTAACTAGAGCTTGCCGATTAAAAAAAAAGCGCTTTAAGTAAAATCAACTTCCGTTAACCTTCTTACAGTCTAATCTAATCTCTCCACTACTCCCTGTCAAGGGACTAATATTCCCCATGTTGACCATGGACTGAGCAAAGGCCTGAAAAAACAGAGTCTGGTTGCTTGCAAAGGAAGTAACAATGGCGATCGTGGCTGAACCGGTGGTAGAGAACAGTTCTTGGTCTGACTGAAGAAGCCCATTGTTGCTCTGAAGGTTGGTGAAGTAATTGTTATCGAACGCATCAGGTGTGCTCAGGTCGAGATTGGTAATCCCTGATCCGCTACCGTTTTGAGGACAAATCTGTTGAAGACTGCTGAGAAGCGTCGTGTTTAGAGTCGGGTCCGGATTTCCTGATCCGCTGAAGTTGAATAGTCTATTGCTGAACACTCCGCATCGAGCACGTCCGAACGTATGTGCACCTACGCAGATGAAATCAAAAGAGATGGCGTTAGGGTTTCCTTTAACTTGAGAAGCAAGTTATCTAAACACGTAGATGATTTTACCAGATAAGGCTACTAGGTCGTTGGTATTTAGCCCCACAGCTGAAAATTTAGATGTGATGTTGCTAAGGCTTTCGAAAGGAGAAGGAATGGACGAATTCGCCCCGGCCTGGTTTGCTGTGAGACTATCCCTTCTGCCTAATAATACAGTCCACGAAGGCCCTCCTGCCTATAGATGAGCAAACATGTTCATTGATATAGATGAATGTGAAAAGTGAATATAAGTATTGTTTATTATTTCCTATTAAGAAAGTGTTATTACCAAAGAAACCGATGCCTCTGAGGCAAGAGCTAAAACGTCGGAGCAAGAGACAACGCCGGGGCAAGCACTCTCAAGGGCAGTCTTGATATTATCGACAACGCTGAATCCTCTAGCAGAGTTTGCATTTGGGGCAGCATTCTTCTCGCTCTGGATGCTTCCACTATCATCAAGCAAGATCGATGCGTCGCAACCCTTTAAGAAATGAAGAAAATTAGCGGTTTAAGCGTATCAGATCTTATATAAGGTTTTTTTGTATTGAAGATTTGTATTGAGAAAGATTATTATACATTAACAAAACAGTCGTGAAAATGAAGGCGGATGAGGCTGGCTCCGATTCTCGTGTCGGATTGAAGAGCTTGCTGAATAGTGCTGCGTACGATGGCAGAGGCATTCGGGCACGTCCCGGAGTAAAACGTAGCGTTTAGCTGTGCTGATGATGTTCCAAACAATGAAGAAGAGATGACGAGAGTGGTGAGGATTATGATGGAGAAACCATCACACGTTGCAGACGGATTTGTTACAGCCATTAATTAGGTTTTGGAAGTAACTAGATTTTATTACTCTATCTCCCTGATTGGTGCGGAGCTTATGACTATTCCATAACGTTTTGAAATCACTATATTATATAAGGAGGAGGAAAAGTTGGATAAACGCGTATTTATTGACTGGTCATGGAAGTGAAAGATTTTAAATCATGAACAACTAGAATAACGTGTGTACTTAAGTCCAAAAAATGAGAAAAAACTGGTGGCTAAAAGTTAATTTGTCTTTAAGTTACACCATCTCCATCACTTGCATTATTATTGTTATCCTCCCACGCGGTTAGTAAAAGAATTTATAAATAGTTATATAAGAGTATATCAGTTTTTGCGTTCTTGAAACAAAATCGGTCATCAAAGGTGATCAATTTTTTTGGTTTTCTATCCTTCTATCATTAACAATTGAATACACTGAAACATGGTATAACCATGTTTCAATCTCAAAATAAAACCATATAGCAAACATCTTTAATGCATTCAGATGTTAATGAGAACTCATAACCATGAGAATGTGAACGAAGATCTCAATTCTCACAATAAAGACGCAAACTTTTTAGGATTTTTTTTTTGTCTACATGCAGGACTAGTAGTTTATAAGTCACATTCTGTGGAATTGCTGCATTCAAGGGTTGTTACCACTTTACAGCTGTATACTCAAGAAAACAAAACTAGATTCCAGTGTTTTATTATGAGTTGTTACTTCATTGATTTTCATAAAGAATCTTCAAAATTCTTGCTAACGAGACTTTTGGTGATGTTCCTTTGACATTAACATTTAGATATGCGTGACTAGCTCCAGTATTTTTGAGTAACGGTGATATGGATTATGACTCTTAGAAAGAGCTTATAACATAACTACTACGCCCCTACAAAACATATGCTTTTTGAAATTTTCTTCTATTTCATTAATTTTGCAGTACTCTGATGATTGAACTAGGTATTTTTTGACAACATATGACATTAAATTTCTAAATTGGCACTATTTTGAAACAAAATATTCTTCTACAACAGCACGGAAGAAGTACATTAACGATAATACCGCTAAACCGATACTCTAAACGGCTAAGCCTAAAGAAAACATTTTGAATATTGTTCTTTATAATAGTTCATAGTTGCTACCAAATGTGAAATAAAATCCCAACCACTTCGCCGTACCTCTGTTAATTTCTCATGAAGACTATAATTTTCTCCATAATTGACACTATAATATTATTATACGTCAATCTCGTCGACGTATCATCATCTATATTTAAATCAAGTAGAATGCATGTGTTTAGTACAATAAAGGGTTTTAAATTATTAAAATCTCGTAAGTGTAAAACACAGGCTACCCACTCATTTTTTTTATAACGAAAATGATTCAGCTTACGAGTAATTTATTTATATATGATAAACAAACGGTGAAACTAGTCCTCATCATCTTTCACATATCTGCTAAACTCACTGCTTCCTGAACGGAGTCAGACTGTAACTGAATGTCCTCTGCTTCAGTAGCTGACTGTCCATTAACCACCTTACAATCTTGTCTAATCTCTCCACTAGTCCCCGTCAAGGGACTTATATTCCCCATTTTGATCATGGACTGAGCAAAGGCCTCGAAAAACAGAGTTTGGTTACTTGCGAAGGAAGTAACAATCGCAATGGTGGGCGAACCGGTATCAGAGAACAGTTCTTGGTCAGACTGTAGAAGACCATTGTTGCTCTGAAGGTTGGTGAAGTAATTATTATCGAACGCATCAGGTGTGCTCAGGTCGAGATTGGTGATCCCTGATCCGCTGCCGTTTTGAGGACAAATCTGTTGAAGACTGCTGAGAAGTGTTGAGTTCAGAGTCGGGTCGGGATTACCTGTCCCGTTGAAGTTGAATAGTCTATTGTTGAAGGTTGTGCAGTTTGCACGTCCAAAAGTATGCGCTCCTATGCACATTAAACCACACAAACAATAGCATTAATTAGGGTTTTTGTTTGAATTGAGATGCAAGTAACCAAACATGTCGATTAATTTACCAGACAGGGCTACTAGATCGGTTATATTTAGCCCCACAGCTGAAAATTTAGATGTGATGTTGTTAAGGCCTTCGAATGGTGAGGGAAGGGACGAATTTGCCCCGGCCTGGTTCGCGGTGAGGCCATCTCTTCTTCCTAATAAGACAGTCCATGTAGGCCCTCCTGCCTGAAGATAGATGAAATTCAAACATGTTTCTTTGTTGTATAGAATAAATGTGAATATACTAAGGATGTTAAAACGGTTTTTCTTTTTTCTCCCGGGCAGGCCCACTACAATCCAGTGCCCGTCAAAAGGTAAAAATTCATCCAGTGGGCTTCAAAAATTTGAACCGGGCTTGGAATTCCGAAAATTTTGTTCGTTTATATAGACGACTGTGACCAGTGAACATATGCATTACCAAAGAAACCGAGGCCTCTGAGGCAAGAGCTAAAACGTCAGAGCAAGAGACAACGCCAGGGCAAGCGTTCTCTAGGGCAGTCTTGATATTATCGACAACGTTGAATCCTCTAGCAGAGTTTGCATTGGGGGCAGCATTCTTCTCGCTCTGGATGCTTCCACTGTCGTCAAGCAAGAGCGACCCGTCGCAACCCTAATTCAAAATTAAAGAAGCAAAGTAGAGGTTTAGTGTAACAAAAAAAAAAAAACTGAAGGCCTTACGACAAAAGAAAATCAAGATTCTTATTTGAAGAGCTTCTTATACGTTCACAAAGCAGTCGTGAAAATGAAGACGGATTAGGCTGCCTCCGATTCTTGGATCGGATTGAAGAGCTTGTTGAATAGTGTTGCGAACGATGGCAGATGCGTTAGGGCACGTCTCGGAGTAAAACGTTGCGTTTAACTGCGCAGAGGATGTCCCAAACAATGAAGAAACGACAACAAGAAGGCTGGTGATTAACAAACCATCACAAGTAGTAGACGACCTTGTTACCGCCATTAATCAGTTGTTTGCAACTAATGACAAGAGTTTCGATTAGTTATTACTGATTGATTCTGAACTGATGATTTATTGAATTAATTAACAAGTCGTTATATAGAGTAGAAAAACGATCTCGCCTGATGATGTATGTGACAGGTTTTAGATTTGAGCTAATAGTCAAGTCAAAGTGCGTGTTTGCTTACCAAGTCAATAGATGAGAAAATGTGACCCGTCTAGACTTTTATTTAGTGCGTGTTTGTGTATTTAATCAAAATACCGAATCTTTTTAATAAAGTTGAGTTTACATTATTCGTTTTTAGGGCTTTACAGCTGTGTTTTGACAGAAAATATAGTTTTTTTTCTTGATGCCTACGAGGCTACGACTCGATTGTTACTTAATATTCTAGAATGAAATGAAAATGGAAAGAAGAAAAGAAGCAAGGACAAACACGAAAACATTTTCGAGTTCTTTGTCCTGAATCATCAAATCACAGGACCTTTATTCTTCCGTGATGAATCTCTTTAATATGCCAAAAACTTAATCTAACAAATCAGGATTTTTTTAGAGAAAAGAGAATTTCTTGAGAAAACAAATTAAATAGTAGGGTTTTTGGTTGTGAACCAAGTAAGATTGCGACTTTCAAATCTCGGTTAATTGCTCCTATGGGCCTATGGCCCATGTATTATTTCGAGACGTTCTGGATACTATCTTAAAATTAGTTTCTTTAAGTTTAAAAATACTGTATAATCTATAAATTTTAGAAAGAAAAACCCCAAAAAACTAATCTTAATTCTCTATATTCTTATCTACAGGAAAACCCAAAAACGATTTCTTGTTCTAATAGATAAGAATATAGATTTAAAAGGAAAAAACCTAAAAAAACTAATCTTAAATCAATATTCTTATCTACAGAAAAAACCTGAAAAGAATATTCGTTGTTGTTCCTAATTTCCTATAGATAAGAATATAGATTTAAAAAGAAAAAAACCCCAAAACATTCATGAATCATGGTAGCCTTACTCAGCTGTAAATTACTCATTAAGGTGGGTAGTGTAAGATTTATTTTTATCTGTTTCCTTTCTGGAAATGAAAATTTCAGCATTTAACCAGCTGAGGTTTTGTTATTGATTTCACAACAGTAGGAAAAAAACTTTTACAACCTTAAGAAGAGACTCCTCTAAGTCAAAATGTTCTCCAAAGTGGAAAACACAAGTTTCACTCTGTCGCAATCTCCCTCACCGTCGGGCCATGCATCTTCGGCTCGGTCGAGTCTCACTCTCATTCCAGAGTCGAATGTTCGAGCTCCTTTGTCCGCTACTCCTACAAAAGGTAATCAATCATGATCACCAAAAGCTGGATCTAATGGAGAAGGAACAAAATAGCTAGGGTTTCTAGTCCAAATATTAAACAATATGATTTTCTTCATTTCCAGTGTTAATCGCTAGTTAAGGCTTTTGCTTTGCTCTAATTTTGTCTTTTTCTTGTCAGGGGTTGAGAAGTTGATGTATAAGAGCAACCTCAGCTCCTACTGTCAGAGGTTGTGCCTGCCTCACCCGGTGTATGGTATTGTATCTCAAGGTGCTCGTCACGCTCTTAGATTTAGCTCTACTGTTACTATTGGTAGAAAGATGTTTGCTTCCCCAAATACATTCTCGAACCGGAAATCGGCAGAGCAAGATGCTGCTAAGTTTGCATTACAACATCTACTAAACGAGGATGAGGCTATTGTTACAAATATGCGCGGGAGTCTCTGTGAGGTTTGTTATTTTCTCTCTTTTTGGTACTTTTGTGCATCTACTTCTGGTAGGACTCTTGCTGATTTCTGATTAGTTGTGTGACTATTATGCCATTGCTGATTTCTATTTGAACTCCTGCAGTTCGTATGTCAGGACAAAGCACTTTGCAAGATGGTGTTAAACGAGTTTCTTGCCAAGATAAAGATGGAATGCGCATATGAGACAGTTCAAGTCGAAATGACTCCTTGGTTTGTTTCCTATTTGGCACTAAATGGTACTTGTTATAGAGGTGGAGGTAGGAAAAAGAAAGTAGCTGAGCAACTAGCTGCACTTGCAGCTATCCTCTCCCTTTTAGGTATGCACACATATTCATAAACAAATAAACAAGAACAAAGGACATGTCCATTGATCTTTGCTCTTATATTTTTTGTATGTTTTAATTTTGTTTGACCAATGAGTACCTTTAATTGTTGTAGATAATCCTACATATGCTAAACCGATGTATGAAGTTATCAAGCCCAAATTTGATGCTAGTGAGCTCAGGGACTTTCCTAATACTCGTGTGGCTGGTCACCAGAATGGAGCAGTGGCCATTTCAAGGTGTCCTTACGTATATGAGCCAAGAACTTCACCACTATTATTCTCAGGACCACTACATGGAATCGAATTGGCAGAGGCAGCACAACAGGCTTCTCAGGGAATCATTGTTCCAATAGAGTTTGTGCCACCACCAGCAGCACATAATCCACCTAATGATTCGATCTCTGCCAAAAAGAGACGAAGGATTGCGAGCTGAGAACAAGTAAGTTGTACTAGCTCACTTATTTTCTTGAGATGGTCTCACATTAATGGTTTCTTGTTATGTGGTATATATGGCAGACCTGCAGACATTGGTAATACGCGTTAACTTTGGTTTGGTTCGTCAGACTTGCTAAGATCAGTCGAATAAGGATATGTAAGATTGTAACTGTTGTTGGTTTACAAGTGCAGAAGGCTCATGTCATGTTTTCTATTCTCTTGTACTTTATGTTATGACCCAGCTCCTAGCTAAGATTGTAACTGTTGTATTGCATGTAACTCTTTGTATTTTCTTTCGAAATAAATTTCCAAAATCGAATGGACTAACTTCAGTCCTGGTTTAGGCCAATCAGAGTCAAAATTGCTTTCCAACGAGTTCATTGTGACGTATGAGTCCACATTAAACTCATTCACCTTAAGGCTCACATAACTGTTTTAAAAATGTTTTTTGGATGTTCATTGACCTTAAATCTTTGTTATATAGTTTGTAGCTGACTGAATCGCGACTCTAAAAACAAAACGAGTCAACGTCAAATTTTGTGAAGTTATTGTCGTACTTGGTGAGAAGATATAAACCGAATAACAAAGCTGATCTTCAAATTTCAACTACAATATTTGTTTTTTCCATCAATGCTATTTTCTTACTTTAGAAATCTAGTTATCATTTTGCGTATTTACTTAAATATGTGTAAAGTTTCTTAAATTCCTCCATTATTACTACTTACTCATCTTTTTGACATTTTACTCATCTTTTCGACATTACATCTACATTGTTTTAGCCGATCGGATCCAATTATTACAATTATTTTGAGCTCATTTTCTTTAGTTTGCACTTCAGATTGTCATCACCAAACCCCCATGTGCCTTTAAATCCAATAATTCCTTATGCTTTTTTGGACTGTCCAACATATTCTTTGATTACATTACTTTTTCATTTAGCTTTTATCCATATTTCCATAAACCTACATCAAAATGTTTAATGTTTAAAGCATATTTTTAGGTGAACTTTGAAAACATAGTACTCATCTGTAATTCTTGTTCATTTTCTTATATATTTTTTTAATTAACAAAACGATCTTTACAAATTTTTTTTTTTTTTTTAAATGACTGATTTTGCCGGACAAATGATAAAAGTTGTTCAGCCCACGACTATTGTGATGCGTCGTAGTCAACTTGCAAGAAAATTCGGAAACTCTTATTGTAAAATATGTTGAAACTTATAAAAACTGTTTAAAACTTGCAGAAATCACTAAAAGCTTGTAAAAGTTACGGCCTAACGGTATACATAATGAAGTTGTCGTTTAACGTTCACTAGTGCATGCAATGAACACTGTCACCGTCTATCATGCGCCCATGAAGACGCGCCATATTTAACATTTAAATACTTTCCAAAACTTATAAAAATTGTCGAAAACTTGGAAAAGATATAAAAATTTGAACAGGATTTGGTGCACTGCTTATCAATGCAGGGGGAGATCAGGATAATTATCCTTGAAAATGAAGAAATTTTAAAATACTTTTCATTTAACCCTTTTACAAAAATCATTTGTCCATCTTGTTATCTTTCAAATTAGGAATTCAAGCGAAGAAATGATAATCTCTAATATCTTCTAAAAGAAAAGTCCGGTGATTATAATACTAGTCTCTCCACTATAATCAAATTTGTTGCTGTGACCTGTGAGCCTCCAGTATAATAAGAACAAAGTTGTAGCTTTAATTGAAACTTCACATGTTAGCTTGTGCAAAAAAAAAGTACGAGAATAAAACAGATTAAAAGTTGTAGACACTGTTATTTTTTCTCGCATCTACATTTCATTTATTTTCTATTAATTTAGGCATTTTATTGTATATGAGTATTTATGTTGATCAAAGACACTTCTAAATCATATGTTATCAGTACAAAATTATTTTTACTTAAAAATCCATTTAAGGTTACTTATTCCATTAATATTTTGGGATACAAGACCATTTCAGCATATACTGAAGAATTTCTCTACTAAAAACTAAAACTCCTATCCTGTATATATGCCTATTTGGACACTCATCAAGTAAATCTATCTAACTTGTCTTTTTTTATATATAGAAAAATATCTAATTAATCCAATTAATCCTCCCTTATATGTTCAATTTGTAACCACATAAAACATAATTCATTACATATCAAGATTCAATAAGAGTTTTTAAATTAAAGGAAAAAACACAGGGTAGATTTTAGTTTTTAGTAGAGAAATTCCTATATGCTGAAATGGAATGAATATAGGAGTTGATTTCAACTTAATACTAATCCAATAACACGTCGCTGAATAACATATATTTCACTTATTTTCAACGAAAAAAATTGAAAATTTTAAATACTAAACCAATAACCCGGTAAAAATATGGACATGTCAACCCTTTCTAGTCACACTCCATATTACCAAAAAGGCGAACAAGACAAACAACAATTTGAACAGATACATTTCTTTATCTATTGTTAAAAATAAAATAACAAATTTATCCCATTGTTGAAAAGTTAAGACCAAATTTATATTATATCGGTAATCAAATTAGACTCGAATTTTCGAGGAAACTATTGTGCTTGACGATGAAGCCCTTTTTAATATATTCCAAATCCACTAAAAAAAACAACATAAATATTTTATTGTCTCTGGAGCTGCAGAAATCGAAAAACACACAAAATGAGATTTTCTCTTGCGTGCAAGCTCCTGTTCTTGATTCTAACTATAGCTTGTAAGATCGAGACACAAGTGAAGTGCTTGGAGTTCGATTTCCCTGAGTTTAAGGAGAGCAATGATTCGGACTTGATCCGAGACAACTCATACATTGTCCTTGGAGCCATCCAAGTGACTCCTGATGTTCGAGGAGGCTCTCTCACGAACCACGCGGGGCGCGCGCTCTACAAGGAGCCTTTCAGACTATGGAGCAAAAACAAGAAAGCTACTTTCAATACCACTTTCGTTATCAACATCTCGAACCAAACCGATCCTGGAGGCGAAGGCTTAGCCTTTGTTCTCACACCGGAGAAGACCGCTCCTCAGAACAGCTCCGGTATGTGGCTCGGTATTGTCAACGAAAATACAAACAGGACTCTTGAGTCGAGGATTGTTGCGGTTGAGTTCGACACAAGGAAGAGCCACGCTGGTGATCTTGATGGAAACCATGTGGCTCTAAATGTGAACAACATCAATTCGGTTATCCAAGAATCCTTGAGCAGTCGAGGGATCAAGATCGATTCCGGAGTTGACTTTACTGCACATGTGCAGTACGATGGTACGAATATATCGGTTTATGTCTCAAGAAACTCAGAGGTATACGAACAGAGGAACTTAGTGTTTTCTAGGGCTATAAATTTCTCAGCCTACCTTCCGGAGACGGTTTATGTTGGATTTACAGCATCGACAAGCAATTTCACGGAGCTGAATTGTGTCCGATCATGGAGCTTCGAAGGTTCAGAGATCGATGGAGGTGGAAACATGTTATGGCTCTGGATTAGTATCCCTGTCGTGTGTGTTGTTGTTATAGGAGCTTTCATAGGGGCATTGTTCTTGAGATCTAGGTCAAAGGCTGGGGAAACAAACCCGGATATAGAAGCCGAGCTAGATAATTGCGCGGCGAATCCGCAGAAGTTCAAGCTGAGAGAGCTGAAGAGAGCTACAGGAAACTTCAGCCATGAGAACAAACTGGGACAAGGCGGGTTTGGGATGGTGTTTAAGGGGAAGTGGGAAGGTAGAGACATCGCTGTGAAACGAGTTTCCGAGAAATCGCATCAAGGGAAGCAAGAGTTCATATCCGAGATCACGACGATCGGTAATCTGAATCATAGGAACCTGGTGAAGCTATTGGGGTGGTGCTACGAGAGAAAGGAGTATCTTCTGGTCTACGAGTACATGCCTAACGGAAGCTTGGACAGATATCTTTTCTTGCAAGACAAGTCAGAAAGATCAAACCTAACATGGGAGACGAGGAAGAACATTATAAGAGGGCTAGCTCAAGCTCTCGAGTATCTTCACAACGGATGCGAGAAGAGGATACTTCACAGAGACATCAAAGCGAGCAACGTGATGCTGGACTCGGATTTCAACGCGAAGCTAGGCGATTTCGGGCTCGCAAGGATGATCCAACAAAGCGAAATGACGCACCATTCGACCAAGGAGATCGCTGGAACACCGGGGTACATGGCTCCAGAGACTTTTCTCAACGGGAGAGCCACGGTTGAAACGGATGTGTATGCGTTCGGAGTTCTAATGCTCGAAGTAGTCTCGGGGAAGAAACCGAGTTATGTGTTGGTGAAGGAGAACCAGAGCAATTACAACAACAGCATTGTGAACTGGCTATGGGAGCTATACAGAGACGGAACCATCATGGATGCAGCGGATCCGAGAATGGGGAGTTTGTTTGATGAAGAAGAGATGAAAAGCGTTTTGCTCCTAGGACTAGCTTGTTGCCACCCGAATCCGAACCAAAGACCTTCCATGAAAACGGTTTTGAAGGTCTTGACCGGTGAGACTAGCCCACCGGATGTGCCTACAGAGAGACCGGCTTTCGTGTGGCCAGCCATGCCCCCATCGTTTAGTGACGTTGACTACTCTCTTACAGGGAGTCAGATCAATTCCCTCACCGAGGTAACTGGCCGATGATATCAAGCTGTGTCTTCAAAAATTCTTTGAGAATTTGTTTATTTGTGGTCATATAATCTGATTTGTCCCTACTGTGTGAATCTTTCCTTTGTTTCTAATGTTTGGTTTTTTTGTATTCCTCTGTTCCTATTGAAACATAGTGTTGTTGGTTGAGTAAACAAAACCAAAGATCAAAACAGATAAATAACACAGCTTGACAATAACCTGACCAACCATTTTATTGCTGAAACAACTTAATAATCTGACGAACCACTGCCTTCTTCATCCTTAGCATCACCATTATCATCTAAACATAAATCAATCAAAGAAATCATAGCCTATCAGCAAAAAAATGTTTGGTTCAGATATATGTGTTTTTGTTTTTGTCAAGAGAATGAAAAGTTTATACCATTTGCTTGGAGTACATATCCATATAACCAGTTGTGATTGTGCTTGATTAATATAAGTTCTGTCTATACTATACAGCATATGTAATGGGAAGCTTTAGGATTTTGTTAGTTCATTAGCCAAGATATCCTCTCAATGGATAAGAAATATGTTATAAGCATTATTTGTTTTTCATTTTCCACAGTTCCATGGTATATTGGTATTACGAGAATATGAACAAAAGCTTAAAATACTTGAATTATTCGCAGATACAGTTGAAGGATTCACCTACAGTTTTTTTGTAACTAAAATCAACATGTTGGTACAAACAAAATCGATCGTATATAAAAGTTTCAGTTCGGCAACATCCGTGTTGGTTTGTTTAGCATAAATCTCTGGGAGTAAAAATAATAAATGTGAAAACTTTTTTAAGAGAAGAAGATGCTGAACTTGGAAGGTCCAACGGTATGGGAAAAACCTTTAATGGACAATTCAGGAACAGTGGCTTTCTCCACCATAAGAAGCTCACTGTCTATGAATATCACAACCACCGTTATATCATCATGAAAGAATCTCCTGACTCCTCTCTCCACTTTCTTCAAATCATCGTACCTCATCTCTCTCTTCTTCGCTGCTATGTTCATCGCTCTTCTCACCAGCCTCCTCGCTATCCCCTGCAGTTTACCATCCATCTGTGAGATCCTTGGCAACAAAAAAAAGTCCAGAAAATTAAAAAAAATAACATTTATGATGAATCTTTTAAGGCACGTACAGGACGAGGATGTTTATTCACTATCTCTACGGCTTGCTGGTTGGTCATCTGTTCCCAGAGCCCATCTGATGCGAATATCACAAACTTATCGCTTGTTTGTAAGACTCTCGTGTACACGCAAGGCTCTGCTGACAGAACCGGTCTTTGTAGCCGTTCAGGGACATGGAACCGTGGAAATGAAGGGTCAAGTGAAAACTCTGGCCGCTTTAAGTAGGCATCACCGATTGATCTAGATACCTGCACAAAATGAAACACAACGTCATAAGCCAAGACACAATGGGGATGTTCGTGTTTAGCTTCTCAGAGTTTGAGCTAGCCTAGGACTGCATCGTAGAGAGCTTCTCACTAATCAACCTTCATTGGTTTGGTCAGTTGGAATAAGAAATAAGTGATTTGAGGGGGGGGGGGGGGGGGGGGGGGGGGGGGGGGGGGGGGGGGAAATGAAAACCTGAATGATGCCTTTGATGCGCCACACACCGTGTTTGAGGACAACGATGTGGGGATCATCCGGATGCAACGACCTAAGCTCTTGTCTAACTTCTTCCAAAGAAGCATTGTGATCACTTGTCAACTGCTCAGCTACAATCTTGTGTGACCTATTGTTATTACTACCCATGGAACCAAGCACAGCACGAGAATCCCCAACGTTAGCGATGAGCAAGGTCCCTTTCCAGATAACTCCCACCAGGCAGCACGATCCAACGGCTGCAATTAACGGTTTTAACCCGCAAGTCCTTCGCACAAGCGTGAGAAACCCTTCCTCAGTTGCAGAAAACGCAGACCTAAGAGACTCCTCTGAAATGGCACCCTTTTCTCTCGAAACTCCTAAAAATGAAAACTTTAAATCAAGAACCATCGTAATGCCAAAAAGGGAACAAGACAAAGCTTCAAACAAGTTGCAACAGACAAAGCTATAAATCAAGAAACAAACAAACAGAGAGACAAAGTCGAGGATAATTTGCCAAAAGAAACGTTTTGTAATTCTTCATATATGGTGGCGGCTCACCAATTGTCAAGTGGTTTAAAAGTCAAAGAGATTCAGTTCACTGTTCATCAGAATCAATAAGGGACATCATCAATTTCAAGCTCTACCAAAATCTCCGATCGAAGTTAACACACAGATTGAGTTCCAAGAGAAGTGAATCAAACAATTGCAGAGAGGGGACTTGTTGTTTGACTTCAAGCACAGTGATTAGAGAACAAACATGAATGAAAGGAGAGAAGGACTAACTCATCAAATGGGAAAAGAGGTGATCGGAGATGTATCTAGAAGCTTCGGGGCCGCCATGGCCATCGTAGACCCCGACGAAGACGGCGCCGTTTCCGGTCTCGACTTGGCTGTGATCCTCGATGACCTCGTTAGCTTGCACGACGGACATGGAGAAATCACCGAAGGAATGCCTCTCGAGTTCCCTAGACCAGAGGAGCGAATCCCCGCCGGTGTCGTCGTGATCATCGTCGTCATCATCCCTGTTCATGCGGCCGTACCGCCGCATCGGTCGCAAACAGAAAAGCGCCATTCTCGTCAACCAGGAGAACATCCCTCATTTGCCCCCCTCCCCGAGAACACCTCTTTTAGGTCGCCGGAGACCCACCGGAGATCACGCGGAAGAGGGGATTTGTTCGGTGAGAAATCACAAGATCAATTTATGTGGTGGATCGAAGCAGAAACAGGTGAAGGGAAAACGAGCAACGAATCGGGAAGCTTTGCGCAAAAGGCGAAATCAGAGATTGCGAAAAGCTAATGGTTTATTTCCTTTTTTCTTTTTACTTTTCTGGATTGAACTAAGAAAAAATTTGAGAGATTTTGGAGAAAAAGGGCAAGACTTTCTTTGGTCTAGACTCTAGAGAGAGAGTGAGAGTGGTTGGAGCAAAGTGTGAAAAATATGAATTGTTTTAATTAAAGTTGCGTCTATCAATTTAAATTAAATCAATTTTTTTTTCTCTTTTTACCCTTTTTTCATATTTCACGCAAATCAAATTATTGACGTAATTGTGCAAGACTCTCAACGATTTCACGTCATACTTTTCTCTTTTTTTCTTCGTCGATTAGATTTATTTAGAAGCAGAAGTCTAAAACGCGTTTCTCCTTGCACATATTTTGGACTATTGTAGTTGTAATATTATGAAGAGGTCCTATTTTAATTTCAGTGTGAGCCGGTCCTGAGATGTTTAAGGCTACAAGCCCAAAAGAAAAAAAAGGCTGTTTTAGTTAAGTGACAAAAAAAACATTAAAAGACAAAAAGAAAAAATTTAGACAATTTGGAAGATCGAAATCGAACTCAATTTGGTAGAAAAGATATGTAGCAACACTAACCACTAGACTACAAATAAATTCTTGCAATTGAGGGCCGCAACTTGTTTAATAAACAAGGTCACAAATATGGGCTTGCTCCGGTTAGGCTCAGGACCGGGTCTGTTTGGGCTCAGGGCCGGGTTAACTTATTATGAATACATATTAAACGACATTTATTTATGTAGTTAACAGTGTATTGTATTAGATTTGATAGACATAAATAAAAGTAAATCTATTACATGTAGTATACCGATATATAATTCCATAGTCAATCATGTACTAACTACATGCTTGACTATGTGACTATGTCTATGATTTTGAGCAAGCATTTTGTGTGATCTAATATGAGATTGTCGAAAAACATAGATCTAAATAATAACTTAAATAAAGATATTAATTAAAATTCGTAGAAAACATGAGTGTGATTGTGCTTGATTAAATATGAGAGTGGTGCATCAAAAATGTTCAGGAAAGTGAAAGCAAGAGCTAGGAAGTTCAAGAACAGTCTAACTAAACATGGCAATGGGCATGATCACGATCACGATATGGAAGAAGAAGAAGAAGAAGAAGATGATGGAAGAAAAGCACGCCGCACTAGGTTAATTTCTTTGTAAAATTTCTCTTACGTTTTTTTGTGATAATGACATTAACGGTTTATCGGTATTATAATCTGTATGCAACAGTGAATAAAGTGTTCACCGCGAGAAGCTACATAACGAGTGTGATATCTAGGGAAATATGAATAACAAAGATATCTAGGGACTCTTTTTTCTCTTTCTTTCTAAGTAAATGAACAACAAAATGATGTGGTTTGCACTGATCTCCCTCTTTTCTCTTGCTCACAGTTCAACGACGGAGGAAAATACGATTGATTCTCTCTTTTTTTTCTGCGAAAGCTTTTTTATCTGTTATAGTCGATTTTTTTCCAAATAACTTTGATGGAGTCTTTGATTAGGTTTGTTTCTAATTTTTTGCAAAATCTTTTTGGGATTTTTGGTTAGAATTGGTGACTGATCTAGTTCAAAAGTAACTTTTGTTTTTGAGTCATGAAAAAATATGAAGGGTTTAGAGAATTTGGTCTGTGGCTCTTGATTAAAGGTTTTCCACAAGTCATTTCAGGAACGCTGAACGCAACCTTGTGTGGATGCGTTCCTCCACCTCTAGCTCATGTAGCACCTTCGCATTGTCCACCTGCCGATCTCCGAATCCTCCACCTCCTCCAGAGGATGTTGATGACTCAGCGCCAGCTCTTCCACATGTTGTCTTAGCGCCAGCTCATCCGAACAGTAAACCTGTTTCATAACCTGTGAAACAAGGCGAAGATTCTCCGCCACCTGAGTCTTCTTCTGGTATGCCTGCTTGGCTCGCGACAGTGTTGACGGCATAAGCTCAATAGTGGGAATATGTTTCACGATTTACCCACAATTTACAAATGGCACAAATGCTGCCATTCCCGTGGAACAAAATGTGAGTGTGGGGAATGTGGTTATATATAAGTAGCAGCATTATATGTTATAACATATTTGGTTCAGAAGGATGATATGTAGGGAAATGTGGTTATATATAAGTAGTAGCTTTTGATGTTATAACATATTTTATTAAGACTGATGATATCTAGGGAATTATGAATAACAAAGAATAATTGTTAAACAAAAGTAGTGAAAAAAAAAAGTAGCAAGTTGAAAAAAAATGAATGTGATACATTATATTTGTAACTAATAAAAGAAAAGTAATAATAATAAATAAATGTGAAATGAAAGTTAAACATTATATTTGTCTTAACATATGCCTTTTTCAATACACTATAATATAGGCACGGTTCTGTCTCTCAACGACAGAACCAGTCCATACATCCAAAGTCAAATACACTCGGCTAGGGATTCTCGTGAGAGCAAGCTTCAGCTTATCTTTTTCATCCTTGTAAATTTTACAAACCCCAGCTGCAGCTTCGTGCTTATCAATGAATCGAACATTTGGATTCAAATATCTCCACGCATCTCTAAGACCCTCATACTCAACAAACTCAAAAGGGAGATCATTGGCTATGGTGATCATAGCAAACATCCTGCGAAGAACATCATCATCATCAATCTCCTTGGCTTCGTCTGCATGATCAGCGACTTGAGGCCTTTTCTTGGAAGCTACAAAGTGACAAGTTAAGGCCAATGTCCCGTAGCACCTTATGCCAATATCTACAAAATGTCGGATTTATGGTATTTAGTGGTTAACGGTGTTCGTATAAGATTTGAGAGACATCAATTAAAGTAAAAATTTATTTCATGTAGTATATGATGTTGAAACATGATCTCTCTTTTTTTTTGTTAAGAGTTTGAAACATGATCTCTCATAAAATAAATTATAAACATAATATTCTTTCTAAATAAATATCTTAAAATAATTTTAGATAGCACCTAGACCGCTATTACGATCCATTGGTATCCATTGCTGGTGATTCAAAGTTTCAAAATCTGCGTCGTATACGTGGTTTGCTTTGAGTTTAAACTTTTGATATATGAAAGATAACACAACGATATCAAATTACTCGGAAAGCCCAACTGTCATGAGACCAAAAAAAAACAAACGAAAGCAAAAGTCCTACAGTTACTTAGAAAAACAAACGTAGGACCGAAAAAAACACACAACATTAAACATATAAAAGCACCAAACTTGGAATTCACAGAAACAAGAGCAAATAAGAAAGTAGAAACACGCCTTATCCGGTATATCCTCCACCGGTTCCATACCCAGTGGTACCACCACCACCGACACGAGTGTTGTGAGCGGTGGTCCGACCAGTCCCAGTGTTCGTTCCAATCGGTTCGGTCACGGTCGTACCCTCCACAACGTGGCCGGTTGGTTGTCCGGTGCCGTGACCAGGCAAAGCCGACATCTGGTGGGTCCCAGTGCCGTGTCCGACGTGTCCAGTGGTCGAGTGAGTGGCCGACCCCAAACCCAAACCGGTTCCGGTTCCGGTTCCAGCTCCAGCGGCTTCTTTCATGATAGCGTTGTGCTCACGCACTTCTCTCTTCTGCATCTCAGCTTGATTGATCTTTCCTTCCTTCCTCTGTGTAGCCATCTCTTTCTGAACAGGATCTCGTGTCTTCATCTTCTCCGCCTATTGAATACCAACCCCAACATTCAACGCCATCGTTTATTAAACAAATCACGCACAAAAAGAGTTTATTTTGATAGATTAAATGACAAAACCAATTTATAGTACCTTCTCCTCCAAGGTGGCTTTGGTCTTGTCCATGCCAGACTTCGCAGAAGCTGCAATGTTCGACGCTGTTTCCTTCATCGACTGCATTTTTTTCCGAAAAAGAAGCTCTTTTATCTTCCTAAGTAAAATTCAAAGATGTTGCACAGAGATTAGCTTTATGTTTTTCTTCGTATTTTGTTGTCCAATGCTTTGTTCGGTGAGCATGCCCCGTAAAATAGGCATCCCGTTCGCCACGTGGTACTATATTCGGTAACTGTGTTTATTATTTAATTACGTTCTAGGCAACACGTCACCCAAACGTGTCATGAAACAAGAGGTGGTGGGCGCTGTGTTGCACCTCTTGCTCTTACACGTGTAGGGAGCGATAGAGTCGTAGAGAAGTTCCAATGTCGACGCGTGTTAGGCTTTGGAGAGCACAAAGAGTTCGGTAATTAATTTGTTTTCGGTGTTCGCCGATTGTGTATGTTACGTCTAAAACGGCTTCAATTGATGTCGGTGATTAACGTTGACGACATGGTTTAGTGTAATGTGATTATAATATAGATTTTTTGTTTCTTACTAGATAAGTAGATGATTGGTGTACATAAATTCAAAACAGTAATTCCATTCGCGTAAAACAACAAATCAATAAACGAAAAACGAAGCAAAAAGCCTTTTAACAGAAGCAAAACACAAACGATCAGAGAGTCTAAAGACCAGCGTACAAAGCGATTCATGACCTGCGCAGCTCGGTTTCACCATGCGCAAAATGGCATCCATCGCCAAATGTACAGTTCCCTTGAGCAAATCTGTCACAGAGCTTCCTCTTGTAGTTGCTCCCGGGATATGGTTTCCCTTCAAACACTTGAGGTCTCCTTGCAGCACCTGATCCAAGCCTCTCTATAAGCTCTCTCACCATCCCGCTAGCTTCATTGATCTGTTCAAATGTTCCTTCCAGCTCGATATTCTTCATGTTCGGGTCTCTTTCGTGACCTTGAATCGACAGTTTCACCCCTGTTTGACGGCATATCTGCTTGGAATGGATTCCGCCTTTTCCAATTATGGCACCAGCTAAAGAAGCATCCACACTGATCTTGGCAGTAGCAGAAGCACCAAAGCTTGAAACAGGGCCTGCTCTTGGATCTCCCCTCCCTGAGAATCTTCCCGGACCACCGGATCTTTGCATATTTCTGGAAACTTGAGAAACTGGTTGTCCGAGATTTGTCAGGTGCGATGAAGCATTGTACCCACCAGGTACGTAGTGCAAGAAGTGGCAGTTATCACCAAACTGACATCCAGAAGTGCTGCAATACAAAGCATAATGCATACAGAAAGTTAACACATATAATGAAGTTTATAGGCTATTGCTACCTTCTAATCTCAACAAAGCAACAACCTTCATTGCAAAAACGATGAAAAGAACATTATAGAGTAGTAAAACAGACTCTATTCCAACTCTTTCCCCGAGGAACAACATGTTGCTCAAAACGATAATGCAATAACCTTACCCGAGTTATAACAGTTTTATGCTGCATATGCAGAGCTATAGATTCCTTACCATCAAACAGAAGAAGAGTAAAACACACAATTTTCACCGCTCTAAGAAAAGACAAGTTTTTTTGTAGATTTTGTATATCATATATTCACCAAGTAGAGTTCAGTTGCGGAATTAAACTCCATTTAACGCTTATCCATTCTTACTTGCTTAGGAGGAATCACATTTTGTTACATTTAACTTTTTAACTCGTTTAAAGGATGAAGGGTGTGCTACGTACCTGTTATAACAACTTCATTAGCACAATATTACTTGTTAATTTCAGGATCGACTTGAAGAATTTCTATTATAGAAATTGATTATAACCTGAAAAATTTCGTGCATGGCTTCGATTTGCTTCCTAAACCAGTTGAATTTGATTCCATCTCTGTTGAAAACATTAAGTGTTTTTTACTTAGTTGAAATTTGTTTTCTCTAGTGTGCCATCTGCCGAAGCTTTTCAGGTTTTAATAAGTAATGAAACTGGACTCAACGCCTTGAGTTGACATAGATCATAGATCATAGATCAATCAAGCGAATCCAGAATGTTGACTAGTCACAAAGGCCATTGGCTTATATGTATATTCTAATGATTTGCCGAGTGTTATGAGCAAGAAACAAATTTCCATACTCATTGGAAACAGAGCTGAGGAACCAACTCTACTGAACAATTAAGGAAACTTTTAGATCAAAGAAGATAAAAGAGTGATGAGTTCCTAGTAACCCCCGTCTAATGAACCAGTAAACCCCCTGTACGAGAGGGAAAGGCCTTTCTTTTAACAGTTAAAACGAATAAACTACAAGACAGAGAACAAACTGCAAGAACATTGCAACTATTGTGAAGATCTCGAATTCGGAAAACCCCAATTTGGGACAGTAGGATGAAGGATATGCTGTAGGGAGGGGGATGAAAGAGCTAACCTTGCTTAGACCTCTTGAATCCGCCATTAGAATTGTAAGAGCCGGCTTCAGGGCGTCCTCTCTTGCGAGCATCCATGACTCGATACAGAAGCGAATGGAGCAGACGGTGACGAACCCTTGGGATCGATTAAACGAGGCGAATCGGAGAAAGGAAATCCGAAATTGAAAATTGGTGAGAGAGAGAGAGAGAGAGAGAGATCAAGGTTGAAGTCGTTCGAGGGGAAGATGAGATCTCTATGATAATTCCTATTTCCTCGTTCTGAGCTGTTCGTTTCCTTTTTTTGGTTTATATTATTCTAATTTATTTCCCTATTATCTCAACAATAAAGATTTTGTGCTTAAATTTTACGAACTAAGTATAAATCAAATTTAAAGCTTGTATATGCATTATCTATGGTTTATAGGGTTCGTTTATTTGTTATCTGGCTTGAAGCAATAATAGTGATGGTCAACTTGAAAAGAATTAATGCGTTTTTACAAACAACATTCCTCCTAACGATTATAATTTTCATACATTTTTGAAACCAAAGCAACTTGAAAGAATACAAATGTTATTATTCATCTTGCCAGAAACTAAGGTTGAATGGGTGAATCTCACTCTCTTCTTTATCCACTGTTATCCCTCGGGCATTCGTAGCTCATGCAAATACGCTTCTTCTCCATCTGCTTCAGCAGCAACACACAAAAAACAGGGCTTAAAACATAACAGAATTTTGTCTTGCAATGAAGGAGAGCACAAGACAAGACCATATCTATTACCGCTTTCGAAATCAGAAGCATCCGCAAGCCTTGCAATGGCAGCAATAAGCGCATGTTCATGTTCCTGCATCATTCAATAAAAAAGCACCAAGTTTCACTTTACCGTTTCCTTTGATCAAAAATCCATATCTAATCAAACCCTTCTTGTTATGTCTCTCTAACCTTGAGTAGCTTCTTGGCCTTATCAAGCTCGTGCGGGTCAGGAAGGTTACAATCAAATACTCTCTCGACCTAACGGGCAAAAAAATCTCGCATTATTGACTAGAGAAAAAAAGTTATAAAATTCATTCACATAATGCAGAGAGAGGGAGAGAGAGATACCTACCTCCTTCACAAGTGAGTCTGTGTTGAACAATTCGATCTCGTCGAAAAACTTCCTCCCACCACCGTTTTGTGCAGCTACATGTTCTTCTCTCTTTGGCTGAGTTCTTGGACCTCTCCCTCTACCACCATTGCTCAGGGCTATCTGACTCCCATGGATTAAATCACCGCCATATCCTACATTTAAAGTTGCCGCATTCTCCTCTCCATCCCATCTTATATCTTCCGGTGGAATCTGCAATCACATAAATAACTTCCTTAAGATCTTGCAGAAATGGGAATCATATCACATACTATGTGAAGCTGTTTAACAAGTGAAACTTAGTACCTATCGAAATTCAAAGACTAGTAAAAACACCATGAATATTACCTCCTTGAGATCAACCCATTCCCATGTTTCAGTCGGTGTGTTTATGTCATATACCAACGCATGACGACCCTGTGACAAAACAATGAGTGTATCAATTATAAGATTCTTGTGCCATATTCAATGTTAGATTAGCGCAAAAAAAAAAAAAAAAAAACACAAAAGACCATTCCAAACTTCTAGAGAATTTAAGTCATAGTATACTTTTCTACGCCTCATGTGATAGGATTCAAACCAGTAAACTCCTACTTCATACAATTCATCAAGTACAATACCCATAGGGAGAATTTGATAGCTAGATAAGTCTCTAACTCTCAACCAAGATCCAGAATACCCCAACTCAATCTACCTAAACTTCAATTATTAACTCTCCGCCTTAGTGTCAGATATAAAAATTATCTACGAGGCACACAATTAGTTACCGAAAAGTTTAGAAAATTGAGGATACCGATGTCTGAAATACAGGAGACACCTCTAAACACATAAGACATATATACTACTGAGCATACGGCTAGATGTAATCTATTGATGATTCTTAAATGTAAAGCTGTCAGTTATCAGAAGTTACCTCAGTTACATTGTATTGTGTAACTACTGCTTCATAAAAGCTGTTGTCTTCAGGCCATTTTGTCCACACTTTTCTTCCAATAAGAGATTCATCGGATCCATTAGCTGATACGGCACCAGACACTACTCGGTTATTGAATGACCTATTTCTAGTAGAACCAATCGACGGATACTACATGCATATCACAAATCATTTGATCAGGAAATAACCAAAAACCATACGCAAAATACAGATATCATCTGCTTGTCCTATGACGAAAGATTCAAGCCACCAGAAGAAGTCTTACTGATTGGAAAGTCTTCTGTTTCTTCCGAGAAGCTGAGAAAGCAGGACTAGGAAGAACATCGAGGAACTGATTACTTGCATGTCTAACAACTTGGTTCCCGCCTCCCTGTCTCCAATCCCTGTTGGGTCCAGATCCATCTCATTACAGCGCACGAGACACAGCATGTAAACATAAGGTTTCACTGTCTCTAGATCAGGCTTCTTACCTTATCCTTTTGATAATGTCGTCATTGTGGACACTGTTCAACAATTCTCGGTGTTCATCATCAGATACCCTCAGCTCTTTACGTAGCTCCGTTATCATGCTTTCTTTTTCCTAAAATGCAATCATACAAGCCATATCCTTTGTTCAATGACATGTGACAGTAGAGTTTAAAAATAACAATTTCAAGGCAACGGAGAAAAAGGGAGTTACCCAAGAAATTGCATCAGACTGTGCTTTAAAAGCCCTTAGTACAGCACAATAAGCTTCCTGCTCAAGTATATGAATTTGCGCTTCCATGTCACCGTGTCGTCGTTTGATAGCACGCAGAAACCTTAGCATACAAGTCTTGCCACCCCAAATGAAACTGCCTCTTTTTTCTGTCATGTACAAAACCAATTATATCAACACTACTTTAAACAAATTGCTAAATTGAGATGTTCACCAAATCATTCGCACTTATCAGATGCATTTAGATTAAAAAAAATTGACAGTCAAGGTCTCAAGAGAATGTACGAAACAAATGATGGCTTAAACCCTGACAAAGAGAACAATTTCTTAAAACCCTTTTCACAGCTCCATTGCTGAATCAAGCCCTATAACTGTTCGATCTCTCAAGCAACCGAAAAAAGGCTATTAAACGCAAAACGGAACAAATCGTTCAAGAATTGACATACCGCAGAATTCAGAATGCCGTCGGAAAACCCTAATAATCGTAGAGAACCAAATTGACAAGCAGCGCAGAGGCAGTTACAGAGCCCGATGGGATCCGACTTCCGAGCAATGACAGTGGAGATCTTAACGAGAAATTGAAAGAATTTGGCAAAAAGAAAACTTTTGCTGTCGATTGAGAGATATTGATCCTTTTTAAAAAAAAAAACGGAAGTGCAGAGTGTGTTGTTGGGCTGAGCACAGCGTGCGCTATAGAGAAGATCGACGACGGGAAGTTGATGATTGAGGAGAGAGAGAAACTAAATACGTAGTTTGGTCGGGAGCGCTTCTTCCTTTTAAAGACAAGATGACTCGGTTCTGTTTAATTACTTTTTGGGCCTATTAGCTTGATAACATAGGCCTGTTAGACCCACCAACTTTTGGCAAACCCGCTTTTATATAAGTATATATAAACTAATATTTCAAAAGTTGACAAAAGCTTTGCTATAGCACACTGGTTATTGGTTCATTGTAATTATTGACCCGGGTTTTGAAGCCCGGTAGTGGAATTTTTTTTTTGCTATATAATCATGTTTATCTTTTTCAAGAAAGAAATTGAAAACGTTATAATCTTCATAGATTGCAAAATATTAGCTTGATCGTGTGATCTGAAACATCGGAAGAAGGCCAACATAAATTACTCACTTTTCTTATGGCAAAATATTTCAACAAGATACAAAGATAATTACAAAACAATACTTCAAGAGAGATCAAATCGGATCGGAGCATAAGAAAGGTCAGATCAATCAAATTAAACTCCAAAATCTTTTTGGTCCCCATTTGTACATCAGAAGCAAACAACTGTATCACAAGATAGGTAGCAACAAACCACAAAAGCCAAAGTTACACAGAACCAATGAAACCATTCTCATCCTCTATTTTCTTTTTTGGATTGTCTAATTCCAGTTATATATAATTTATAAACCACAACCATCATTATCATATATTGTTGTAACACCACACAATCCATCCCTATGCTTCCAAATGCATGTCCAGATAAATTCGAATAACATGAAGGAATTCAAAAGAGCAAAGATAAATAAAGAAGAAGGAAAAAAGTGAAATCACATAAAAAGAAGAGAATGAAGATACAAAGGTCCCATCATCAACTGCTTGTATTCAGCTTTTCTTGAAATCTCCTATACGAATCAACCTTCTCCAACATGAACTTCTCATGACAACTTGCTATGAACATATCAGCTAATTTATCAATCTCATTCATCATCATCATCTCTTTCCCTTCCTCTTCTTCTTTGCCGTCTTTAACTTTATCATCTTCTAGTTGTCCCAGATAGCTAGAGAGCTCAGATTGTTCTTGAATATCATCATCAACATTATTGTCGTCCAGAACATCCATGGATTCGGTCGAATACATTGAATCCCTAGCAGAGTCGTATTGGAGATGTGCCAAGTAGAGTTCCTCAGGGAGACGTACCGGCGCAGAGACTGGCACTACGTGAGAGGAGCAAAAGTTGTAGTGAAGTCTGAAGGAGCCGAAGAGAATATTAGTGTTTTGTTTCTTGGAGGCTCTCTTTGGATAGAACGAAGAAGACAGTGACAAGAGATTGTATTGCTTCTTCCTCAAGACTCTAACAAGAATAGACGAAGCTCGAGAGATTTCGCGGATTAGTCGACAAACTTGAGAGATGATGAGAGTTTGGATTAGGGACTTGAGTTTCACGGAGCTTGATGTCGGTGAAGACGAAGATGAACATTGAGATGAAGAAGACATAGAAGATGTTGATTTGAGTGGCAGTGCCATTATGTATCTCTCTTTCTCTTCTCTCGCTTGAAACTCGTTTGGTTAGGAAGAAGGGCTTTCTTAGTTTCTTATACTCCGGTTGAATAGTAGGAGTAGAAGCTGCAGAGCGTATGGATTTACAGAAACACCCTTTATCTTTTGGATTATTTAAAAGGATGCCACTCTACTTTGAAGATTTTAGATGTGGTCGGGGTGGTGTGACTGTGACCCTACCGATTCTGACATGTTTGCCGAATACTAGGAAAATCTCTCAGATTTGAAAGAGAGTAGAAGTGACTTTACATTCAAGTAACTAATGTTACTCTTCTGACACCTGATCCTTGCTTTTGCACTCTCTATGTTTCAACTACAATTTTCACATCTATGCTAATTTCTCACACTAACCACAGCTTAAGACATCGAGTAACAACCTTACAACTTTAATTAACAAAAAACAATCCTTACTACTTTACAATATAGATTCAAACCGCGGGTATAATAAAGTAGGTGGATGACGAATCTTAGACCACATGGATTTTATAGAACAAATCCCTAGGGTTCTACAACCTCCCCGCTTCCTATATTTCAAAATATTTGGATTTTCATATCTATTTTTCTATATAAATATTTTTGACAATATTGTTTTTTAATTTACAATTGATAATTAGATTTCCGTTTATAACTTGGATAAACCAAACTGACCTAATGAAAAAATCACATTTAGCTGACATCTGTCTAATTGGCATGACTATATGTGCGATATTGCAACTTTTACGGTGATACGACTTTAACAGCCAGAGAAGAAAAAAAAAGTCAAAAAAAAAAAGTCAAGAGAAGAAAAAAGAAATAGAATTCCAGGGAGTGATCATAGAGACTTTTTCCGTCACGAGCCAACGGGTGAATAAAAGACCATTTGTAATATGGGCTTAGTTAATGTCTTGAGCCCATCAAAATAGAGTATACGTTAGGCTTTCTCCGGGCCTTGTTTAGTCTGTACAAAATATCAAATGTTGGATTGTTTTTGTATGTTTTAATATTTTGTGAAAAACTATATTTGATATGTTTTATATTTTGTGAAATGAAATGGATCCACAAATTTATTGGGATTAAAAGAAATTCATTTAGTAATAATTTTTTTTTCTCGTGGCACGGACAAATTGTTGAAAACGGTGTTAGCAGTTTCTTTCCATAACTTTTAAGAATACATAGCAGCAGGAGAGATCATCGATTTTTTTAAAAAAACCCTAAACGGTGTTAGCTTATGTGACATCTCTTTTGGAGATTTACGATTTGTTTGTTCATACGTGGAGGGTCGGAACGTAGCCCAAATATTTTTATTTATGGTTACCATTTCTTATTTTTATTATAAAATACCAGCTGCAGATCATGATTCTTTTATTTAAAAGATTTTTCTAGAACTTCAATTATTTTTTTTAGAACTTCAAACTGAGGTCAAACTTTTTTTTCAAGTATTTCATTTTAACAAAGCCTTCCCGATTTTTTTTATCTTCTAAGAGAACAACAATTAATTTTTTTTTTTTTTGGTAAGAAAGAATACCCTCGCAAATAAAAATAAATAAACAAATTGACCTTGATATCGAATAATTAAAACAAAAAAATATTGAATTAAGAATGATCAAATATTTGTTACGTGAACACGCGTCAGGGGGCCATCTGTCACTGGCAAAGACGAATATATAAAGTCCATATTTTTAAAAGGAAATTATGAAATAAAATAAGTTAAAAAAATTAAATACATGTAACTAAACAAAAAAAAGTGGGAACTGCAACTTGTAAGAATAGTATTGGGTATTATTTTAACACGTAGGAGGAATCTTACAGTTGTTCCACTGTTGCTTTCCATTTAAAATTGATTCATTTTTTAGAGGTCCACCTTATGTTATTTTCAAATACTACCAAATTTCTCTTTCTTTTTCTATAATTGGGCAACGACTTCGTCGATTTTAGAATAAATAGCCATCTAGTTTAATAAGAAATTAGAGAGTTATGTAACAGAGATTTACTCCTAGTAAATCTTTGAATGTTTCTTTGTTCAGATAAATTCATAGAGATATCTTTGTTATAACGACAACGCCTCCATCTGATCAGTGCCTATACAAATATTATATTAAAATTGAATTAATAGGTACCTTAAAATAATATTTGAATTAATGTAGAGCATGGAATGGAATTCGATACTACTCTATTTCTTTGTGGTCTTACCTATAGTTTTTATTATTAGTATATTTATCGTTTGGTGCGGAATGTGGTTTGCCTCTAAGCCAACTTTTGGAAGTGGAATATGAATCTCTCAATGAATTTATTGTTTTGGTATAGAAGATCTAATTGGCGCATCGTACCAATTATCTAGTAAACAATTTAAAACAAAACTGAAAAGAAGATCACGAAGTTGCATTGGGCCAAACAAATCTTTTTGAAGATGGAGAACCATTTTTATCCATCCTATCCAGAATAATTCTGTCTTTTTAGACCATCAAATTCATGCTCGTCAAAATAAAGTTAATGAAACTTATGCAAGAATCGTTGTTATAATACATTATTAAGAAAATATGCCATTGTAAAATATATTCTCCCATATCTTGGGTAGAACAAATAAATATTTTAGTAAATTTTTATATTCAGTGGTCCTAAATGTGTCGGAAACCCAACTAACTTTTGATTTTGACAAACGCAAATCACAATTGGTAAATACAAATTATAGCTATAAATGCCAATCGTATGATCTCTCACCCGATTTATTTAACCGTTATATAACCGGTACGGGTCTCCTATCACCTACTATTAGTTTTGTTGTCTTCTATACATTAAAAAAAAATTGATATGACATTTAAAATCAGTTCTAAAAAATAAAAGGTCAATTTAGTTTAACATTAATTAAAAATTTAAAGATGTTGACAACGATATTTTTACCATTCGTTAGTTAATTAGTTTGCATGCAGGTGTGCTTTGTTCACGAGCCACCTTTGCGACTCGGAGATCACGGTCTCAGCTGCACGCACTGCGGATACGATGAAAGGCCTTTCGTCTGTTCCATCGCTGGCAAATTTTTATATCTCATGTTTTTATTGGTTCAACATGTTTTAAAAAAAATGATACATCATACATGAATATATATATATATAACGCTCTGCATCAGTACATGTTTATGAATCTCGTTCCCGTTAATTTTTTTAATAACGGTATTGTTGTTGTTCATATAATGTATGCACGGTTTAACAAGATCCGTTAGGGTTTAAAAATGAATTATTTCCACGCGATGTTTTATTTGTGCTTACACTCACAAACTCTATTTTGATGTTCCAAACAAAAAAAATAACATACGTACACACACATTTATGTAGATGCATAGTACATCTTTATGCATGGTTTCACAGGATCAGTTAGGGTTTGAAATGAATAAATAATGATACTAAAATCGATTTCCGTGCGATCTTACTATTTTTGTGAACAAACTCATTTTTAAATGTTTCTACAAATGAAGAAGGATAAAGACAAGGTCTAAGCAAGTGGGAGTTTAATTATACTACTTCTTAGTATAATACTCCTGGTTCTTGATATAAGAATTTTGGACTTTTGCAATTATGGCCATTGGGTAATTAAAAAATGCGCACTCCTATCCATTTCGAGAATAATCAAAAGAAAAGCTATTGCCTATATCAATACTCATCCCTCTTGCACCTGAAGACTTTGGAGGAATGTAGAGAGATTCCACAAAACCCAAAAAAACAAAACACTTCAGATTTCATTTCGATCGTTATTCCTCCGATTTTTTTGATTGATCGTTTTTTTTTTCAAAAAAAAAAATCGAACCGTTCAATATATCATTGAACGTAATAAGAGCATATGTTTCTGATGCAAAAGTGGCAATCCGGGGTCTCTCTTGTTAGTTCTTGATGGATAACATCAACTTTGAATTCTCAAACGCTCTGCAAGGAAACCGGCTACATACGCAGCCGCAACCGCCCCAACCGTTTAATTTACAAGACGTGAATATGATCCATTACAATCAATCATCTCCATGGACGACCGAAACGTTATCGGGTTTTACTCCATACGATTGCACAGCCAATCAGTCTTTCTCCGTACAATGTTCATCATCAAAGCCCTATCCTTCCTCGTTTCATCCGTACCACCATCATCAATCTTCGGATCTTCCCTCTTTAGACCAATCCCAATCGATGGTTCCTGTGCTACCTCTTCCGGATCAATATCTAAAGCCATTTTATCAAAGATCATGCGCGAACGATTTTGCCGCAACAAAAGCTTCATCAGCCTCATACTCTCTTTCTTTTGAAGCAAGTCAAGCTGATCCACAAGTATGCCAAAAAAAATCCCTTTTTCTTTTTTCTTTTAGTATATTTTTTTCCTTATACAATCTTTTTTTAACAAAGATGCTTATTCTACTTGATGATTTGCAGGAACTATGCAGGAGGACCTATAGTAATTCTAATGTGACACAACTCAATTTCTCATCGTCATCACATCATCAATCTAAGCAAACTCATCCAAGATTATCTTCTCCTCCTTCCTTCTCAACCCATGGAGGCTCCATGGCTCCTAACTGTGGGAACAAGACACGGATAAGATGGACTCAAGATCTTCATGAGAAGTTCGTGGAGTGCGTAAATCTCCTTGGTGGAGCTGATAGTAAGTTAAAACCATTAACGAGACTTCAACTTTAGAGTTAGAGGAATTAAACAATTAGTTCTCAGCCACTTGGTCTAGTCACTTTGCTTTAGCATAAAGTTATGTTTAGAGATGCATATGAATCATGAACGTTCATGTATTAACCATGGCCTGTAGATGTTATGATGATTACATGTCATGAGCTCAAAAGTCTCCTTATGCGCTCACATATAACACTTTATGGGGATTGAGAACGTTCTTCTTTTGAGGCAAAATATACGCACTGTTTGGAAAAATAATTTGATATTTGCTTGAGGGATAAAAGTGTCCTTGATTCTTTTGTGGGTCACTAAAAAGTGTGTAACTGGTGGAAAACAATGCAGAGGCAACGCCCAAGGCTATATTGAAGCTGATGGAATCTGAAGGACTAACAATATTTCATGTTAAAAGCCACTTACAGGTTAACGTTATTTATTCTCTTTCTCTTCATTTTTCTTTTTACAAAGAAGATTTTATTCAATAGTCTTGTGTTAAATTTCAGAAGTATAGGATCGCGAAATACATCCCTGACTCTCAAGAAGGTACACGCACTAATAGATACCATCACTACATATTTTGTGATAAATTACATTGTTAATTTGGAAATAATGGAACTCAAAAGAGTTTTGTGTTGCAGGCAAGATTGACAGGAGATCTAATTGTGGCAAAGAGCTGTCTCAGCTTGATACAAAAACGTATGTTTTATTTCTCATTTTTTTTTTCCAAAATTATACTTTCTTTATTACTAAATAGCCCACTGTTTTTCCTCCATATATATGAGTCCAAAGTTAATGACCCAATGGCTTACCGTAGCAATAACAACATGATACGATTAACATTATTCAAAAACAATAAGTAATGAGCTATTAATGATTTTAATTTATATTTTGTTTTGTTTGATATTGTGGAGGCAGTGGAATGCAAATTAAAGAGGCACTCCAGCTTCAGCTAGATGTTCAGAGGCATCTTCATGAACAACTAGAGGTAAATTGCAAAATGTATTTTAGTTTATAAAATAAAAGTTACGATTACTTTTACCAAGTAAATACAATCAAATGTTTTATAAGCAATTGTTTTGATATTTAATCTCATTCCAGTTCCCCAGTAAAGTATTTTGGGGGTAAAATAGGGTTTCTCTCGCTTTTTTTCACTATCCCTCAAATTATATTTTTGTTGTATATGTTTTGGTTACAATCGGTTTATAAAAGATATGTCAAACTACATACATCAAAACTGTTTTCTTTTTCGTGTGTTAAAAAAATAAAATAAATGCTTTCTAAATTTTATGTTGTGTATGTCTGAACATGTTGCGGCTCTTCTCACTTTAAATATCATATAGTATTTATTTCGCTACTATACTGGACAATTTATTGATAACTAATCTGCTGCCTAGATACAGTTTTTTTACCAACACTCATCTTAATCATGTGCCTTTATTTCTACAGATTCAACGAAACCTACAGCTGAGAATCGAAGAACAAGGGAAACAGTTGAAAATAATGATAGAACAACAACAAAAAACAAAAGAGAGTCTTCTGAAGTCACCGAACGCCGAAGTATCGTTGCCTCTCTCCGCTTCCATTAATCACTCTCCACCTTTCTCGATATCAGACGCCGACGAAGCCTTGACGGTAACAAGTTATGGACACACTCAGTTCCAATCAAAGATAAGTTGAACAACGAGAGATTTTTTAATAGAAAAGGCCTAAAGCATGTTTCTACTCTATTCAAAGTGGTATAAAGTCATAAGAGTCGCGACAAGAGAATGTCCAAAGTGCTACGCACACTAACACTTGGAACAGAATCAGGTACTTACGGTGTGCAAGTGGTGTGTGATGGTGTCTCAGTCATAGACTATAATAGATGTGTGAGATTATAATTTTAATTAGCTATTTATTTTTTGTTTTTGTTTTAAATCTCACACGAAGAGATAGCTTCTTAAATTAGTAACGCTATTTTTAACTTTGTGCATGAGGAATCCCACGTTTTATTCTTTTGCTTTATTTAAATATTATCTACTTTGAATATTCAATTACTTTTCAATATTTTTTCTTTCCAAAACTCGATTACTCTTGTATTACAAAATTACAAGGATCATGAACTAACTCATCATAGCAAATGGACTTGATAAGTTTGACGATATTTACAAATACTAATGACCTGTATATGCGCTGTCATGGCCTTTTCTCCAGTTTTACGACTACATTTTGCATGGAAGTGTTTGATGAGGGCGAAGTTGTGACTGACTAAAATTCAATCTTGTTCTTAATTTGTATGTTCATGCCCACTCCAAATGACTGGGGTAAGGCTTTAACGGGTCCAAGAGAGATTTTTTTCTAAATAGAAAGCCACTAAGAACGCTTTTTTCAAAATGATTGTTTTAGAAAAATGCCGTAAATTTAAAAATTTGTATTCTTTTGTGGTAGTATAAAAGTTCCCAAAGTCCCTGATTAATATTATTGGTCCGCCCCTGAACCAACGGATCATTCGTCATGAACATACAAAATGAACAAGATTGAATTTCGGTCCGAAAGGTGATATTAGAGAGCCCACCAGAGTTGAGAAGCATTGAAAGTTATACTTGTTAACAAAAAATAATCTCTATATTTGACCTTTTTTCTTACTTTGAAAAACACTCCCAAATTTTGTTAAAATACAATGAGAACTCAAGTCATTGTTAAAAATTCCAATGAAATATCAAATATTGAATAACACTGAATTTAATTACTATTTAAAAATCATATCACAAATAACACAAAAATTAAAAAAAGTATTGATGAATAACATAAAACCTTGGTTGGATTTCCAAATTAATGAAATATTCAATCCAGAGAAATAAATAAAATACTCTTTTTAGCGAGACTATTTTTTTTTCTTTATTAATTAAGTTTTACATTAGATTAGTTAATTTAAATTTAATTTATATTTGATTGGCATTATTATACACGCATGATAATGTTAGAATCTTGTTCTCTTTTATGATAGTTTTTAATGTCTCCAGTATTTTATTTGTTGATGATATTTGAGGAGGAGGTGAGTAGCAACACATGCAATAGAAGTGTCAGAATGTCGTTATCAAAATTTAACTACTGGTGTGTCACAATGTCGTCATTCGATTTAATTATTTCTTATATTATATAGTTATAACCTCTGATGAATTATTATAGCGCGTTCATAATTTCGCGGTGAAGCTCTATATTCTATAATTGATTTCATTTGGAGATTGTTTTTCCTTACCCATATAAGACATTTAGACAAACACGTCTTGGATCCAACAGTCATATCATTTTTGTATTATCCGGAAACAAAAAGAAAGAAAGTAGAGGTCGAATGAAGTTTGGAAGAAGGCAAGCATCGGATAATGATTCTTCGTATGAGAGGTGCAGTAAACACATTACTCATTGCTGCAAATGCTACGATATCTCCGAAATTTTTTCAACCGATACGAAACGGACCACTTTGCTTTCAAAGCAATCTTTGGAATGTGTGGTAACACAGCTCTCAACGGTGTATCTACAATTTTCTTCCCGTAGTTAAATGAGAATGCATAGTAGAGAAGGTACTAATGAACTTATATAGATAAGTAATATAGATAAGGAGTTATAACTTATACCTAAGGTTTCATCGGCAGGAACAACCATCAGCGAGGTCTTTAAATTGCGAATCCGCCTCTGAGCTTACAAGCTCATCTTCCACTAAAACAAGGATCAAGTGGACAACAGATCTTCACGACAAGTTTGTAGACTGTGTCAATCACCTTGGTGGCCCCATGAGAATAATCTCTCGAAGAGATTTTATATACTACAATTAATGTTAAGTTTCGTAAAATTTGGCCCATTTGGGCGAATCGTGCAAGGCCCAATATATTTTGTTTAATTTCATGGTCTATCTAACCAGTAAAAAACCAAATTATCAAATTCAAAGCCAAACCAATAGGTAAACCGAAACCCCCCCTCCCCCCCCCCCCCCCCCCCCCCCCCCCCCCCCCCCCCCCCCCCCCCCCCCCCCCCCCTCTCATGCCTCACCCGTCTTCTCCGTCAAATGAATTGCAGCGACTTGAGCTCCGAGGTCACGAGAGCCGTATCAGACCAAACTCGGGTTAGGTTTAAAAGGTAAAAGCTTTTGATCTGCTCAGTAGCTATATATGTGTCCATTAACATCGCGGACCAAGCAATGAAGCTTATGCGAAACCCTAGATTCACGTCTCTTCTCAAATGGGTATCACAGCTCTCTGTAGAGACCCCCTTGAAACCCCCAATTTCGGCAATTCAAAACTCTAGATCTTTCGCCACCCAGAGACCCGCCCAAGCCTCAGGCGAGAAGAAGACCCGTAATGGGATTCGAATCACTCCCTCTATTCGGAAAATGGCCGAGGAGGCGATGCTCGACTACTTCTACTCCACACGGAGTTTGCAGTATATGGTTGCCGAGAGTATGAGCAAGAACAGCCCAATTTTTATTGATAACCTACTGAAGAAGGTGAACTGCGTTGCTGCTTCTGATATCAGCCAATCCATCACCAGGCATCTCCGGTTTCACCCCGTCAATGAGTTTGAGCCTTTCCTCGAGAGCTCAGGTCTCAACCCCACTGAGTACACTCATCTGGTTCCCTCTGACGAGCTCTTCTTAAACGAACTGTTGCTTGAGAACCACCATGTTCTGTGTTACTGTGGAGTCGACCCCAGGAGGATTGGGAAGGTTTTCGAGGAAGCTAGGGAAGTTTTCGGGTACCAAACCGGTGTTTTAGCTTCCAAGATCAAGGCGTATGAGGTTTTGGGTTTTAGCAGGTTGTTTCTATCGAAGCTTATCGCTTGTTCCCCGAGTATCTTGCTTGGGGGAACGAATGTTGAGCTGGCTAAAGTCATGGAGTTGCTGAAAAGCATCGGGCTTGACTCCGACTGGGTGATGAAGAACCTCTCAGAGGAGGCTTCTTATGATTGGAGCTCTGTGCATTGGTGCTTAACCTTGCTTAGAGACATCTGTCTCGATGAGGATGAGCTGTGTGGGTTGATCAGGAAGCATCCAAGACTGCTTTTTGAGAACTCGGGGAAATGGACAATGGTTCTAGCTGGATTCGAAACGAAGCTCGGATCGTCTACAAGTGAGCTCTGCTCGTTTTTTCAGAAACTCCCTCAGATGCAAGCAGAGAAGTGTGTTTCGAATCTAAGGAGTTGCTTCCTGTTCCTGAGAGAGATCGAGATGGAGGATGATGAAATCCACAAGGTTTTCCGTTCTCACTCATGGTGGATTGGTTCGTGTAGGCTGAAGAAAACAAGTAGCTTGCTCGTTAACCTGAAGGCTTATAAAAGCCGGATTTGTCGGGTCATACAAGAGAACCCAGAGGAGATGAAGAAGTGGAAGATGGGGTCAAAAGTCCAGCCGTTACCAGCTACCGAAATATACGTAGATTCGAAAGCAATGAAGACTCGGTTTTTGTTGGAACTTGGATACAAGGAAAGCTCAGAGGAGATGGAGAGAGCGTTCAAGAGTTTCCGTGGCAGAGGATCTGAACTACGAGAGAGGTTCAATGTCCTTGTGAGTTTTGGTTTGAATGAGAAAGATGTCAAGGATATGGTGAAGGCATCTCCTGATATCCTCACTCAGGCAAGTGATGTACTGGAAACGAAGGTCAACTACCTCGTCAACGAACTAGGTTATCCGCTTTCGACTTTGGTGGCATTCCCTTCGTGTTTGAAGTTCACTCTTCAGCGGATGAAGCTCAGGTTTGGGATGTTTTTTTGGCTTCAAGCAAGAGGCAAAGCAGATCCCAAGCTTGCGATTAGTACTCTGCTCGCGTGCTCCGACAAAGACTTTGCCAAATATTTTGTAAACCGCCACCCCGATGGGCCTAAGCATCTGGAGGATTTGAAGAAGCAAGCTTCTTTGAGATAAACAAAACTAATTGCCTCTCTCTTGTTTTGTAGCAGTAGAGACATTCATCACCTTGTATTGATCCCATTATTCTTTAGGTTACGCTCTCCTGAGGATGAGATCATTGTACTGAAAACAAGCAGATGAAATTATACTCTCACTTTTCCCTTTTTCTTCAGCTTGAGACAAGTTCTTGACTAGCAGCTAAATGGAGATTAACAAATCTTGTATTATCAGTAGTAGTTTTCATTTAGCATGTTTAACATTGATATAAACACACTTGGAAATAAAAGTTGGATCCTTTCGTTGATATTTCTTCCAAAGCTCGAGCATTAGATTGCAGAGCTATTTTGTAGGTATGATCTAAATTTAAATTATAGGATTAATGAGGTCGAAATGAGGCAAATTTTAATTGAACACTCACTCACAAAATAAACACCTCCTTGTTCAAAAGGCGCGGCTGATAAGAATCGCAAATGTACACCGGAGCCGCCGCATCAGAGAAATAATGAATATGATGATTCAGAGGTAATGTCTCTTATGCGAAACCCTAGACTCTTCGCCCGTCTTTTCAATTGGGTATCTGAAGTTTCTGTAGAAACCCTCTTTAAACCCCAACTCCCGGGTAACCCTAGATCTTTCGCCACCCGAAGAAGAGTCGATGCTGAAGTTTTCGGCGAGAAGTGGAGCTCCAGACCACGAAATGAGATTCGGAAGTTGGCTCAGGTTGCGATGTTTGATTACTTCTACAACAACAGGGGATTGCAGTTTCTGATCGCCGAGAGTATGAGCGAGAATGCGCCTGTTTTTAACGATAATCTTCTCAAGAAGCTAAACTGTGACGCTGATGGCGACGATGATTTGGTGAGATCCATCACCAGGTTTCTATGGTTTCACCCTGTGAATGAATTCGAGCCGTTCCTCGAGAGTTTAGGCCTGAACCCATCTGAGTTTAGCCATCTGATTCCCTGCGATAAGATGTTCTTGAATGAAGACGCTTTTTTGCTGGATAATTACCATGTCTTTTGGAACTATGGAATCGTCAGGGAGAAGATGGGGAAGATCTTCAAGGAAGCTAGGGAAGTTTTCGGGTATGGAACTGGGGTTTTAGCTTCCAAGATCAAGGCTTGTGAGGATTTGGGGTTTAGCAAACTGTTTTTATCCAAACTTATTGTCTGTAGCCCGAGTATCCTGATTGGGAATACGCATGTGGAACTGGCTAAAGTCATGGAGATGCTGAGAAGAATGGGTTTTGGTTTCGACTGGGTATCAGAGAACTTATCAGAGGAAGCATCTTATGATTGGAGCTCTATGCATAGGTGTTTGAATTATCTTAGAGCTATGTGTGTCGATGAGGATGAGCTGCGTGAGCTAATCAGGGAGCGGCCAAGACTGATTTTCGACAACTCAGGGGAATGGACACTGGTTCTTGCTGGGTTTCAAACGAAACTAGGGTCATCAAGAAGTGAAGTCTCTTCGTTGCTCCTGAAACTCCCGCTGATTCAGGAGTTAAGGAAATGCGTTTCGAATCTTAGGCACTGCTTCCTGTTCCTGAAAGATATCAAGATGGAGGCTGATGAGATCGGCGAGGTTTTCCGCTCTCACTCTTCGTGGCTCGCTGTGTCTCGTTTGAAGCAAACCAGTACTTTTCTTAACACTTTGAAAGGTGGGAAAAAACGGCTTTGTCAAGTCATTCAAGAGAACCCAGAGGAGATGAAAAAATGGACAATGGGGATAAGAGTCCAGCCACTACCAGGTACCGAAGTGTACATAGATTCGAAAGCAATGAAGACTGCGTTTCTGTTGGAGCTTGGATACAAGGAGAACTCAGAGGAAATGGAGAAAGCACTCAAGAGTTTCCGCGGCAGAGGATCTGAGCTCCGAGAGAGGTTTAATTTCCTTGCGAGTTTGGGGTTTAATGAGAAAGATGTCAAGGATATGGTGAAAGCATCTCCTGATATCCTCACTCAGGCAAGTGATGTACTGGAAACGAAGGTTAACTACCTTGTAAACGAGTTAGGTTATCCGCTTTCGACTTTGGTGGCTTTCCCTACGTGTCTTAAGTACACTCTTCATCGGATGAAGCTCAGGTTTGCGATGTTTTCATGGCTTCGAGCACGAGGAAAGGTAGACGCGAAGCTTGCAGTTAGTACTATACTTGTGTACTCGGACAAGACCTTTGCGACTAGATTTGTAAACCGTCACCCGGATGGGCTTAAGCATTTTGAGGATTTGAAGAAACAGAGGATTGACACACAAGAGTGTTCATCAAGTTTATATAGGATTGACACACAACAGTGCAAATAAGCCTCAAACAGTCGGCAAAAGCCAGATTATGCATTCGAGTTAGCACAATTAGTGTGGGGTTCTCTTTGATCAAGACAATTTTGTGGAGCAGTAACTTTAAATCTCTTCACTTTGTGTTCCCCCCATGTGCAAGATTATGCTATGTATGTTTTCACACAAGTTCAATAGCAATTTTGGATAAAATAAAAATTGTACCTTTAAAAGCTAATTTACTAAAGGGGTTTCATAAAAACTGTGGTAGAATCGTGAGTGAAATTTTGCAAGAATCTGAGGTTTGGCATCATTGAAATGAAGGAATATTAATTAAAGGACAAAAATTGACACTTGAAAATGGTTTCTCAATAGGTGTGTGCCCCATGTGTTTCTATTTGTAATTTTGGCTAAATTTTAGATTTTACCAAAGAAAAAAATTGCAAACAAAAATTACGACTTAAATATATATAAAAGCAACCAAATAAAATACTATATAATGAATACAATTATAAAATTACTACATTTTGTTAAACGTTTTTTTATAAGTGGTACACAAATTCCTTTCATATATAAACTTGCCCCTTTATTTATTCTTTCTCTTATTGACTTTTTATTTACTTAAGTAAAGTTACAATTTTATATCTAAAAATTTACTACAAATTTGTAAAAAAATAAATATAAATACTTCAACAAAAAAATATTATTGAAATATCAAGTATTTTTCTAGTTCCCCTCTACTAATGTAGACACGGTTTTGATTAGATTTAAATTTCAAACAAAAATTACAATTTGGAAATACAATTTACAAAAAAAAAAATTGCAAAAAACAATTATAGACTTAATAAATACAATTATAAAATTTTAAAAGAATGATAGTAATTTTTTTTCTTTGCATTATGTGTTTGTTGAAAAAGTTTTAATCTGAAACAATTTTTTTTTAAAAAACACCAAATTCCATGTTGGTTTAGATTCAAACTTTATTTAGTGTTATAATTATTATTATTTTCCTTTTTAATAAAAAACTGATTGATTTAAATTAGTTGTAGAAATAAATTGAACATAGGCTAATGTAAATCTAATCAATTTTAAATGGTTAGATATCATGTCCGGTTAATTTCACAGCTAATGTAAATCTAATCGATTTTAAACTAATTTAAATTTTAATGCGGATGAATACAAACAAAAACTTAAAAAATAGAATACATATTTTCTTCTTAAGTTTTCTTCTCTCGGTATTTTTTGCTTCATGAGTTTCATTTTGTAAAAAAAGCTTTGACCTAAAAAAATACAAAATAATACTGGGTTAGATTCAAATTTTATTTACTGTTACAATTATTATTATTAACATTTTCTTTCCTAATAAAAATCGATTGATTTACATTAGTCGTGAATACAAATTAGACATATGCAATCTCTAACGACCAAATGAATTCAAATGGCTGGATAGTTTCACAGCTAATGTAAATCTAAACGATTTTAAACTAATTTAGATTTTAATGCAGATGAATACCAACTTTTTTAAAAAAATACTTATCTTTTGTTTTTTAAAATTTTCTTCTCTCGATATCTCTTGCTTCCTGAATTTCATTTTGTAAAAAATGTTTTGACCTAAAAAAATACAAAACAACAACGGGCTATATTTAAATTTTATTTAGTGTTACAATTATTATTATTAGCATTTTCTTTCCTAATAAAAATCGATTCATCTACATTAGTCGTGGATACAAATTGGACATAAGCAATCTCTAACGATCAAATGAATTTAAATGGCTGGATACCATGTCCGGTTAGTTTCACAACTAATGTAAATCTAATCGATTTTAAACTAATTTAAAATTTAATGCACATGAATACACACAAATTTTTTTAAAAAAATACTTATGTTTTTTTAAAGTTTCCTTCTCATTCTCTGGGTATCTCTTGCTTCCTGAATTTTATTTTTTAAAATAAGCTTTGACCTAAAAAAATACAAAACAACACCGGGTTAGATTTAAATTTTATTTAGTGTTATAATTATTATTATTAGCATTTTCTTTCCTAATAAAAAATCGATTGATCTACATTAGTCGTGGATACAAATTGGACATAAGCAATCTCTAACGACCAAATGAATTCAAATGGCTGGATACCATGTCTGGTTAGTTTCATAACTAATGTAAATCTAATCGATTTTAAACTAATTTAAAATTTAATGCAGATGAATACACATAAATTTTTTTAAAAAATACTTATCTTTTTTTAAAAGTTTCCTTCTCCTTCTCTGGGTATCTCTTGCTTCCTGAATTTTATTTTTTAAAATAAGCTTTGACCTAAAAAAATACAAAACAACATCGAGTTAGATTTAAATTTTATTTAGTGTTATAATTATTATTATTAGCATTTTCTTTCCTAATAAAAAACCGATTGATCTATATTAATCGTGGATACAAATTGAACATAAGTAATCTCTAACGACCAAATGAATTCAAATGGTTGGATACTATATCCGGTTAGTTTCACAACTAATATAAATCTAATCGATTTTAGACTAATTTAGATTTTAATGCATATGAAAAAAAAAAAGAGAGTAAAAAACATATCTTTTCTTTCTTCTGAGTTTGGCATCTCTTGCTTAGTGAGTAGAAGTTAACTCCACCTGCCATTTCATATTTCCTCTTTTATCAGTCCGTTTTCTATTGCTAACAAAATCAAGATGAAAAAGAGGTGAAAGTAAAATCATTGAGAGATGGCCCTGATTTTCTTACATCTTGTCCTCGTTTGATCTCACTAACATTGTTTGGGAGCTCAATGGTGTAAAGCTCCTGACCCATTAACCCTAGAGGTCTCAGCTTCGGGAGCTCAAAGGTAAGATTCCCATTCCCACAAGATTGCTTCGGTGAATTCGCCCAAAGCTCTTTGAGATCACAGCTTTCACTCTCTGTCGTAACGATTTTTAGAAACAGCATATTTATGTAAATGATTATGTTTTTCAAATACGAGACCAAAGCATTTAAAGCAGAAAATGTACCAGAAGCATTGGACCAGCAGCCCAATCACGAGAACTTGCACTTCCATATTCAGCATCAGCCAAAATGATTGTGTCGCCTCCCTTGTTCCTGTATTTCTGGTAAAACGCAACAAAGAGAATAATTTGATAAGAGCAAAGCTACGAAACTGTTATTCTATTTCCGATCGACCAAACCAGAGAGACTCGACTCAAAGGTTTTAGAAAATATGAAGAAAGAGTGTGGGATTTATACCATGGAAGCATCGAAAACAGAAAGCTCCTCTCCATTGGGAATGTGAACTGTTTTGGGACCAACTTCTCCTTTCAATTGTTTGTTGACAATACGAAAGTTCCTCTCGCCATAATCTCATTATTACCACGGCGACTCTCGTAAGAGTTGAAGTCTCTTCTGTCCGCACCAAGCTCTATCAAGTACTTAGCCGCGGGACTGTCCTGGTGAGATGTGATCAGTCGTGATACTGTCTCCGAAATTGAGAAAACAGTAAGCATCTTTCACACCGGGTGGAGACATGGTCATGCCCTTTGGTGATTGCTTGATACATGTCAGGAAGAACAGTAGCTTGCACAACCTGAAAACACGAAACAGAGAATTTGACATCCCTTCCAATGACAATATCTCTTATCTTTTTATGTATTGCAGCATCTATGTACCTCGACAACTTCTTTGTTAGAGAGCCAGATGTCCATGAAAAAGATCTGTTTGTCATCTTTTCCAGTTCCAATGGGCTCCGTCTCAAAATTAATGTCTACGAGAACATGATGAATGCTTGATTGAACTCTGCAGCCTTACTCTGTGCTTTCTTTGGAGCAGCAAAACCCTGAAATATCACGGCTAAGAATCCGTAAGACTAAATTATAAACAAGAGAGAAAAAGTACAATCTCGTAAGAATCCATCGGCCTAATTTGGTAACAATCGTCAATTAAAACCAACATTCACTCTTCTAGCATATCACAACCTAGTACTAAAACCAGAGATTTACGATTCTAGAAATCGGAGTAAAAACCAAACCTTGATGAGGATGAAGAGAGACGACAGAGATGTCATCATTAATGGCTTCGTCGACAACAAGTCGTTTTGGAGACTTGTTCCTCTCGAGAATAGCAGTACTGAAATCCTTCTTCGGATTTACTGAAACAAACAAGAGAGAATAATCAAAACTCAGCAGCTTTAAAACCCTGATCAAAAACCCGGGGCAAAAGATCGAACCTTTTATGATCGGAAAATGAAAATCGGAGATTTTGGTACTTACCACTCGGAAGATTCAGGTTGGTTTGACATGGTGATTGCTGAAATTGACCAGAGAGTTTTTCTTAAACAAAGTTGCGAAATCTATTTCTGGAGAGATCGATTGATGAATCTCTGTGATTATGGGATCTGAAGGGAGAGCGGATTTTGAAATTTTATATCTCTCTTCTTGTTGGTAAGCAGAAAATGCTAATCGGTAGAAAAAATGACTGTTGTGTCTGATTTCTCCTACGGACCGTTGGTGATCTTTTCGATATTACACGTTGTGTCGTTTGTCTTTTTTAGACTTCCCGTTTATAACTACCTGCCGTTTTTAAACCCGAGTGATCGTCTTCTATTCTTCTACTTGTAGAATAAGAGAAGTCACCGCCATTTTCTTTTCCGGCTGGTTGGGTATTCTTCATGTGACCGTTATTCGATTGACTAGCTTACTCGAGGACTGTTTGGATCCAAGGCTATCTTCGTTACTAACCAAGTTAAAAATGATGGTGAGGCTTCTTAAAGCCTGGCCCATTAACGTTACAAAACCGTTGCGTTTCGGCTGATTTTTCTCCCTTCCTCGATGACACTCCCATGAAGTTGAATAGTACGGCCACGTGGCAAATACAGGCGCGTATACGGTATGACTAGTTGACTCCAACGCCCGTAACTGATTTTGCTGACGTGGAATATTCGCGTGTGTACACACTTTCGCATTTTATTCAATTTCATCTCTCGTTCTGCTCTTCACTCTACACCCCTTCTTTGATCTTCGCTCCTCCGGTGTTTTAGTT